CCGTCCGCAGCACCCGCCTAGCGCCCCTGGTCAGCCGGCGCAGCTCGCTCGGGGCAGCCCCAGGGAGCAGGCGCTTCTCCATCAGCTCCTGGATGCTCCACAGCCGCGTCAGCTTCTCTGAACTCCCCCTCTTCCAGCCCATCCTCAAGACCCACCTGGAAAACACTTACAGGATGGGGCCAGATGAAGGCTGCAAGTTCAACGCAGGGCGGGTGCAGCAGGTGCTGGAGGCAGTCCTGGCTGGGACCCTGGGGACCCCAGCCTACAGCCCGCAGGGCAGTGCCCCCCTGGCCCAGAGCCTGGCTGAGCTGCTGCGCAGCCGAGCCAAGGAGGTGGTGCCACCCCGCTACAAGCTGGTCTGCCAGGTGCTGCTGGGCCAGCAAGGCCAGCAGAGCCTGCTGGCAGCCAGCCGGGCACTCTGGGACCCCGAGAGTGACAGTTTTGCTTCTGCCACTTTCTCCAACGCCTCCCTCTTTGCTGTGGCCACAGTGCATGGGGTCTACTTTGAGTAGTACCTGCCCCCTCCCCACACCCAGCCTTGGAGGACAGTATGGGGACAGTAGCTGAAATAAAGAGGTTTGCTACTTCTGTGTCTCATACCAAGAGTCTCTGGCAGTGGTGCAGGCAGGGAGCAAGGCACGGATGCACCTCACTGCCCTGGTTGCTCATTACAGCCCCCATCCAGGGTTCACACCCACACTGTGGCTTCCACTACTGCAGTTTGCAAAAAGACCCAAACTACAGCAAATTCAACCAAAAGGCTACATTACTCCAGAGCAGGCAGCTTCCCAAGGCCATGCTCCAAGGAGCAGCCCAGCCTGCTTCCCACAGTCCAAGCTGCTCCCAGGCAGATTGATTACACCAGCTCTGGGAAAGCAGGTGACATATCACCTTCAAAGCAAGATCATGAAGCAGATTAAGTACCTCCTCTTTCCTGGCTCCGTTCCCAGCTCACATCCCATCACATCAGGTATCACAGTGCAAGGACCTAGGTAACCCACCCAACCCCTGGGCCACAGGCCACCACCTTCTCCAGCATGAGAGCCCCTGAATTTGATCCAAGTGCAGAGACAGTTGGGAATGGGAGTTTGGCAGCAGCAAGCTGAGGCAGCTCCAGGACTCCACAGGCACCAGCAAGATCTACCTTTGCCCTTCCTGCCAACCCCCAAGCAGGGCAGTGGAGGTTTCACATGGGCTCCTCACCCCTGCCTGGCCCAGTGTAGGCACAACTCTTAACAGCCAGCATCAAGAAGGGTCTTGCCTGACAGGCAGAAGCAGCCCTAGAGCAAGAATGGGGAAGCTGAAGCCCTTTTGTGACCCCAGCTCCAAGCAAGGTGGGCAGGTTGCCCTTACACAAATAAATTTTTATTGAGGCAAGTCAGGGATAAGGGAGCTGCACATGGACAGACCAACAGGAAAATAAATAATTCCATATAAATAAGATACATAAATAATCCAAACACAGCAGAGACTGCCTTGAAACAAGAAACCTGCCTGGGTCCCAGCAAGATGAGGACTTCTCCAGGCAAGCTCTCAGATCCCACTCCCCTCCCCACTCCCCCTTGTCAAACCTCAAGTTGTACCAGACAAAATTCACAATTTGGGAGCAGAGATGGCACAGTTGGGCCCAGCACAGCCCCCTCCTTAGTGTAGCAGTAGTGAAGTGGCATAGACCAGCCCCCACAGCCCCTGGCAGGGCAGGCAGTGCCCTTCACCCCTGTCAATCCCTGGGAAGGGGTTTTCCCTACCCACAGCAGCCAAGCCTGTGTTGGTCCTTCCCAGACCATGGAGAAGGTCTGTGTAACTGGCTCATCACCCTGGGCAGAACAGCCTGAGGTCCCCTTGTAGATAGCTGCCACCCAGGCCACAAACAAGGTACAGCCAGCCCCAAACCTGGCTGCAGGGCACTCACCCAGCAACCTCCCTGTGCCACCCCAGACCATTCCACCAAGACCAGCACAACCAGAGCAGAAGCTGCCAGCAGGAAGATGGAGATTGCCCAGAATCAAAGAGCAGCAGGGATGTTCAGACCTGCTGCTGTAACCACATCCAAGTGTCTTAGTCCAGAGTCCAGCTGAGCACCAGGATACAGGGTGCACAGGTGGGCAGCCAGCACCACAACATAACTCCCATTGCACAGGAGGACAGGGGAGACCTCTATGTCCAGAGAGGGTCCCCCAAGCTCCCATGCTAGGCCTCAACCCGTTCTTGGAGAAGCTTGAGGATGTATCTGAGGCGGTGGTGGAGCTCAGGAGAGCAGCCCAGCTCCTGGATGCTGCACAGCTTGTAGGTGTACGAGTTGCGCTCCCGGTTGATGTAGGTGACAAGACAGGAGTGGTCAGGCTTGCTAATTATCACCTTGGTGTGGTCATTGTAGAAGTTCACCTAGAAGACAGGTCAGGCCTGGTTTAACCCACGCTTCCTACAGCATGTTGGGAGCCAGGAGGGAGCCAATACTTCCTGCCTCAACCCGTTCCTCCTCCCCAACCTGCCTGGGAGCATCCCTGCTCCATGCCCCACGGAGGGAACGCACCAGCCCCAGCACTAGGGCAGACAGAAGTGGCCAAGTGAAGCATCACGTCCCTCACAGGCTGGACAAGCCACAGCCAACAGCTCCAGGCACTGGAGCAGCAACCTGCACCCATAGCTGGACCTTGCATTTGGGCTATGGCTGCCAAGACTCCCCAGCTGGCCTCCTCCCCACCAGGGTCTGGACATCTCCACCGAGTCCCACACATACCTGGAGTGTGCCACTGCTGAAAAGCATGAGCAAGGCTTGGTCAGTCTTCACCCACTGCAGGAGGAGCAGGGCTGGCTGCCCCAGGTCATCTATGCTGGGCAAGTCACCTCCCTTGGAGAGAAAGGTTTGCATAAGCTACTGTTCTCATTCATGGGAACACTGCCACCAGCACACATACAGCCAGACTGGGACACATCCCCTGTGGGGTCCCCACTGCCAGGACACAACTGTCTGGGTGTCCATCTGACCTGCGAGCCAGGAGCCCCACAACCCCAAGCAGTGTGGTCAAGCCATGACTCAGCATCCAGTCCACCCACTACACCAGCCCAGGGCCACAGCACCCACCTTCATGAGATGTTGCTCCATGTAGGACGCAAAGTAGCGCAAGACACTCATCTGTCCCTGCAGCTGCTCAGGGATGGCGGTCACAGGGAACACAAGGTGTTTGCTGTTGGTTGGGTTGTAATGCACTGTCCTGGGAGGGAGCAGACCATAAGCTTTGGAGCTCCCCAGCACCAAACCCATCCCTAGCACAGCCTCCTCTTGCCCATTCCTATGCCAGGGGCTTTGTCAGAGACACCAGCCCCTTCCCCACCACTCACCTGTGGTTGGGGGAAAGTGCCATGTGTGTGCCATTGTTGAAGAGAACCCCAATGCTGCGGTTGGAGAGCTGGTAGCCAAAGCCATACTTGTTGGAGTAATCCACCCACTTGCTCACCCAGACAAAGTGCTCATGGCAGGCCAAGGAAGCTGGGTTTTTCTCCGCTGGTGGAGAGAAGAGGGGGTGAGCAGAGCAGGCAGCCAATCCCTGCCCACCTCACCTCCCCAGAGAGGAGCAGATCCCCCCCACAACAGGCACTGGCAGCATTTAAGGTACCCTAAATAGTAGCCATGCCTTCATCCCATGGGGAAAGGGATGTACAGCATCCTGTCCCATCCCAGAGCAGTCCAACTGGTTTACCTGGGGGCATGGAGGAGAGGCAGGTCCTCAGGAGCCGGACAGCAGACTCGATGATGGCAGAAGCAGTGATACAGTCTTCAAAGGCTGGGGAGAGAAGATGACAGGCTGAGTCAGTGGCCTTGCTATCAGCCGGGGCAGGGCAGGAAGCTCAGGGCAGGCTGGGGTGGCCTGGTCAGGTATTGCTCACCCTCACAGCTGCTGGCCATTGTCCCTCGGATGGAGGGGGACACAGACTTGTGAGATGCCTCCTCCACCACTGTCTCCACAGGGCTAGAGCTGGCGCTGCGGCACGACACAGGAGTGGCCTGCAGAGAGACATGGCTTTATCATCATCCTGCCTGCTCCCCCAAAGAGGGGTGTGCATGGGCTCAGGGGTGTTCTCACCTCATTCCCTTCCACAGTTTTATAGCTCATCTGCCGACAGATTGAGGTCTTCACCAGTCCAGTGACCAGCTTGGAGATTTCATCTTTGTTGTCCTCCAAAGATCCCTTCTTGGCTGAGGAGAGAGCAAGTGATGAGCAGACTGCAGGGTGCAGAAGATGAGGACATCAGGGCCACCCCTCCCAGCTCAGCTCTCCCTCATCTGCTTCCATGCCCAGGGTGGTGAGGATGATGTCAGGCAGCTGCATCCCACTTTCACTTCCCAGTTCTCATGCAACACAGGGCAACAACAGGAGGAACTGCCCCCATGGGTTGCAGCACAGCATCCGCTCTCCAGGCACACACCCATGACAGGCCACCAGCTCAGGAAGGGCAGGGGCAAGCCCAGTTTGAGCTGGCCCCAGGCAGGGGCTCCATAGAGACCCATCTAGGAGGTAGGACCCACTTCTCCCTGGAGAAAGGGTTACCCAAGAGGCTCCTGGGCGAGTGCACAGACTCACCCTTGGTTTTCTTCTTCCCAAAGAGTGTCTTGGTGACTTTAGCAAATAGACTCTTTGCTGGGTTGGGGGGACTCAGGTCTGGAGCCATCACACAGCTGCTGGGAGGGAGCTTCTCAGGCGTGTAGCCCTGCAGAGAGGTCAAGGCAGAGGTTTGGTTTCCATAGCCCACGTGCTCCAGGCAGAGCAGCTGCCCTGGACTGACCATAGTCACTCACAGCCCTCCTGACAGGCAGCTTGCATTTCCATCAAGCCTTGGCCCCATAACAGGCATCAGTATGGGAAAATCCCATGCCAGGGGGACAAGGTGGCAGGAGCACACCAGATCCCTCAGTTCCCCTGGCTGGCATTTGAGCAGGACAGTGCCTGCTTCCTTTGCAGGACTGAGACTGGGACTCCAAGCACAGCACCCTACACAGCCCAAAAGGCCTCGTCCCACCTGGAGAAGGGACAAAGCCAGACCCACACCTGCTCACCTTGAAGAACTCATGGTCCAAGATCTCCTCAAGGGTGAGGCGGTCCTGGGGGTTGCGTCTGAGGATGCCAGCGATGAGGTGCTTGGCGGGCAGAGAGAGGAAGACAGGGAGGGTGTATTCCACCTGCTTGATACACCTGTAGGTCTCCTTGAGGTCGGAGGTCTCAAAGGGAGGGTTCCCACACAGCAGGGTGTACCTGGGAGGGGATACACGTGCCACTGTCGCATACCTGCCCGGCTTGTGACTCAGCAGCACTTAAAGCAAGGAAGCTATTGGCGGCCACACCTGGCCAGGAGCACCACTTCCAGCCCCGACAGCCATGCTCACATCCGGCCACGCTTCCTCCTAGCCAGTGCTCAGAGCAACAGGCAGAGAGCCTTGGGGAAGGGGAGAGGGCTGGCAGGAGAAGGCCACCCCACTGCCCACGCCCCTGCACGGCTGCCAGGGCAGAAAGCA